ACGACACACACCTGCCTTTTACACCACCACCACCTGCGAAATGTATAAGAAACACAGGCAAGCTTCAGAAAGGCAGACAGGTCCACAGGTCATGAAGGCCATGCCATTCAACCCTCTGCGAAACATCTGCTATCTCCCTGTCTATGGCCTCCCCTGTTCACACACCTAGAAATGCATGGACACGGGGATGCTTGTCTCAGGCCGGAGGGCCATCAGAGTGCTCCATCCAGCTAAGGAGCACTGACCTTGAGCATTCCTCTCAATATCCTTGCTTCAACACCTGCAATGCCACAGACAAAACCCTTGGGGCTCTGAACCCCTAAAGAGGAAGCCACTGAATAAATCAGATTTGGGATCACTGAGAGACTCGTTGCCTGACAGCTCCGGCTTAGAGCAGAAGCCTGCCTACTCATGCAATACACATATCTTCATAATATATGGGATACAACACTGGCATGCAGGCAAAGAGGCAATGCTGGGTGCCTAGAACTACAGTGTTCTCTGCCAAGGACAAAGTGAGCTAACCAATGAGAATGGTGTAGCCTTGTGCTCTCCCACTAAGCTGAGAATCTGTCTTCCTCTGGGAATCCAGAGCTTGGACTCAAGGACAAATTTGGCCTCCAGAGGCAGGTTACCCACAAACTCTCCCCATACAACCTGCTATTCACTTAGTTTTTCAGACACTGGGTGAGTTATTGCACCCTGGGAGACAGAAGTCCTTCAAACAAGGAATTTTCTGTGCATGGGAGCTCCCACTTCCCTCGACTTCCATTTGCCCAAAGGGACCCCATTCTAAACCTGATGCAACCTTGGTGCAACCCGTATCAGCAAACAGATGTTGGCCCTCTCTGTCTAGCCCCTGTTGGAGTAATGTGCTGGACCTCAGTTCGACGAGGATGACGGTATAGAGTTTTCACTCATTTTGTTCAGCTTTCCAAGGAATGTATATATGGAAGTCATCATCGATCCACACACAATCTTTGTTTTTTTTCAGAGGAGGAAAATTGGGGTGCACTGGGAAGGAATTGCTTCCATTCAGGAGGCATGCAGCAGCCTCCAAAGAAGCCTACACTGTGTGTGTCCATGAGGTTACTTGCCACTCAGAGGATAACATGAGATGATGATTATCCCTCACCAACACGGACCTGACCAATTCATAACTTCCACCTGTGAGGTGAAAAGGAAATACGGGCGTGCTTAAGAAAATCAGACAGGTGTACAGTACACAAAGGCCATGTCCTCTGGTTCCTGCAGTCTATCTGGTTTCGGCCCAACCCTGGCTTTTCCTAATTTTGGACACAGCAACGCTTTGACAAGGGCCCGGGTGCTGTTGTGCATCAACACGCTAAAGAGCACTGACACTGGCTGACTGCGGTGGCTCATGCCTGCAGTCACAGTACTTTGGGAGGCCAAGGTGGCTGGATCACCTGAAATCAGGAGTTCGAGACCAGCCTGGTCAACTTAGCAAAACCCTGTCTCTACTAAAAGTGCAAAAATTAGCTGGGCGTGGTATTACATGCCTATTAATACCAGCTACTCAGGAGACAGAGGCAGGAGAATCGCTTGAACCCAAGAGGCAGAGGTTGCAGTGAACTGAGATGTTGTCATTGCATCCCAGCCTAGTAAGAGAGCGAGAATCTGTCTCAAGAAAAAAAAAAGAGCAATGACATTGAGCATCCCTCTCAACATCCTTGCATTGACACCTATAATGTCACTCACAAAAGCTGCAGGGGCATGTAATCTTAATGAGGAAGTCACTGACCCATACTGGGTGGGTTATGCTAGAGACTCCTTGCCTATCAGATGAGCTTGGATGGGAGCTTGTGTGTTGCTGCCATATGCATGTACTCACAAACGCATGGGACACGGCACAGGCATGCTTGCCCGAAAGCTATGCCAGGTGACCGGAACTCTACTGTCCTCAACCAAGAATGAAAAAAAAAAAGGCAAAAATAATGGCCTTTTTCTCTCTTCCCAAGCACAATCACCTGTCTTCCTTCAGGGGTTGTGCGAATCCAGAGCCAGTAGTCAAGGACATCCTTGGCCACCCAGACGCAGGCTTCAGGCTAACTCTCCCAAAGCAGTCTGCACCTTCATCTAGTCCGACGGACTGCATGGCTGCTACACCAGTCTTGTAGACAGAAGTCCCGCAATCAAGGGATCTCCTGTGCACATAGCCTCAACTCCCCTGTTACTCTTCCACCCAGACAAAATCCCTTCCTAAGCATGGACGAACCCTTCATGCAACGGACATAAAAAAATGACAGCTGTCCCTCTCTAGCCCCTGGTGGACCTCAGTTTGACAAAGACGATAGTATAGAGTTCCCACTCATTTTGTTCAGATTTCCAAGGAATGCATCATTGCATACTGTATAGAAGTCATCACTGCTCCATGCACAGTATTCATTCCAGTAAAGGAAGAACATTAGGGTCTTTTGAGAAATGAACATTTACCATATGAAGGATGCACCAGCACCTGAAGAAGCCCATGCCACACATGTCCAGGGGCTCCCTGCCATCTCAAGGGATCTCCCAAGATGAAATTCATACTTGCAGCCTCTTTCTTTGCAAGCCCATGCCACCTGGGAAGTAGAGAGGAAAAACAGCTGTGCTTCATAAAGGCAGGCAGGTATACAGTTTGCAAGGGCCATGCCATTCATCCTGCTATGTTGTATTCTGTATCTACCTCCCATGGGTGACTTCTCTTTGGGAACGTGTGCATGGATATACCCAGGCTTGACGGTATAAGGCCGGCAAGCATTCCAAGGGCACTGTCAAACCAGACAACACTAAGTGTGAAGAACTTTCTCAACACCACGCTTTCACCACCCGACTCAAAAGGCATTCTTTTTTTTTTGAGACGGAGTTTCGCTCTTGTTACCCAGGCTGGAGTGCGATGGTACGACCTCGGCTCATCGCAACCTCCGCCTCCTGGGTTCAGGCAATTCTCCTGCCTCAGCCTCCTGAGTAGCTGGGATTAAAGGCACGCGCCGCCATGCCCAGCTAATTTTTTGTATTTTTAGTAGAGACGAGGTTTCACCATGTTGGCCAGGATGGTCTCGATCTCTTGACCTCGTGATCCACCCGCCTCGGCCTCCCAAAGTGCTGGGATTACAGCCGAGAGCCACCACGCCCAGCCCAAAAGGCATTCTCTTGACATCAGAGAAGATAAAGGCGAGGAGGATGTTTCAGTAGGGACAGCTGCAGGGAAAAAGTGTTCCAGCGCAAAGAACAACTTTCCTTCAACCTTAAACCATTTCTACCCCTGGGCTCTTTCCACACACTTTGCATTGAGAAACACATTCAATCACAAATCAACCTCCACCTCTGAGCCTTCCTCACAGGTTCAGCTCAGGGATCCAGAAAAGCATCAGTCCTGCTGAATCCTACAGGGCTCCTATGGTGCTGTCCACGAGAACACCATACTTGCCTGTGAATGCGGCCACAGAGGACAAAGCCTCTCCACCCCTGGTCTGTGGATGATAGCCCTCATACAACTTGATGACGATTTCATAAAGAAGACTGTTGTGAATAATTAGGAGGAATCTGAAAATAACCTAACATCATAAGATGATAACAAATTTAAGTGCAGAGACCTTGATGGGTCACTTTTCTGAGCAGAAGTCACCACAACATGGGAAGTGACACACTCTTGGCCTGAGCAGTTCAGAAGCAAACAGCATCAGCCCTCCTGAGCAAACCTTCCCCTGATAAATACGGGGGAACAGTGAGCAACAAGCCCTTAGAGCAGTATGTACAACCTTGGATGGGCAGAAATCCTGGGCCAGGATCAGTTCAAATGCCTAACAGAGAGAAACGTCCCACAGAGGGTCCTTTACACAGACCTTTCAAACCAAATCAGTCTGTGAAGTTGCGGGAGGCACATGGACTTGCGACTAGTCACATTCCCGCCCCAGCATCCTAAGGTCATCTTGAAATGGACAATGGGCACCCTGCAATGGCCAAAAGAGGCTCACTGTAACTGCTCGACGACCCACATGGACTCACTGTCACTGCTCTACGAACAACATGGACTCACTGTCACTGCTCCACGACCCACATGGACTCACTGTCACTGCTCCACGAACCACATGGACTCACTGTCACTGCTCCACGAACCACATGGACTCACTGTCACTGCTCCACGACCCACATGGACTCAACTGTCACTGCTCCACGACCCACATGGACTCACTGTCACTATTCCACGAACCACATGGACTCACGGTCACTGTTCCACGAACCACATGGACTCACGGTCACTGTTCCACGAACCACATGGACTGTCACTGCTCCACGACCCACATGGACTCACTGTCACTGCTCCACGACCCACATAGACTCACTGTCACTGTTCCACGAACCACATGGACTCACTGTCATTGTTCCATGAACCACATGGAATATGCCATTTGGTACACGCAGGTGCAGTCTTCTCACCTTCCCACCACCACTGCCCTTCAGGGACCACGGGACTTGAGTTTCTCCCGATGGATATATAAGTTCAATGTGGGTATCCTCCCTGGGCTCCTCTGCAGAAAGCAAATCAGCATGGCCACCCACCTCATGACTGCCTGCCCCCAATGCCACCCAAACATCATGGAAACTCCCACGTCCTCCACTGAAGATGAAAGTGAGCTGAAGAAATGTCCAGAAATGACGCTGTGCTCTCTCCCCACAGGAAAGCAATAGTATTCCCGTGGTGGGAGGGGAGCAATGAAACCAAAGGGAGGAATCAGGGACACATAGCCACGGACAGGGAGGCTATTAGCTACTGCTTTCTGTGCCACCGGCAGCTTCCATTTCTGCAGACTGGCAGTGTGCTACCCCACCCTCTGAGAGGAAATTCCTTCAACCAGGCTGTCTCTGAGCTACAGAAGTAAGAGAAGCCCAGACACTCGCATTCGCCCCAAGAGGACCACATCTTAAGCACGGGTGCAGACCATGTCAACAAAGGGATGTTACCCCTCGCCACCCTCCCTCCAATGTAGCAGTGTGCTGGACCTCAGTGCAATGAGGATGACGGTACAGAATTCTCACTGATTTTGTTCAGCTTTCCAAGGAATGTATATATGGAAGTCACCATCAATCCGGGCACAATCTTCATCCCTGCAAATGAGGAAAATCTGGGATTTGGGAAGATTTGCTTACATTCACGAAGGGTCCAAAAGCCTCTGAAGGAGCCCATGCCACATGTGTCAAGGGGCTTCCTGGCATCTCCAAGCATCAGATGAGAGGAGGATCATCCCTCACAGATATAGTCCTTCTTCCACACCAACGCCACCTGGGAAGTACACATGAAACATGGGCATACTTGAGAAAGTCAGAGAGGTGCAGAGGTCACAAGGGTCATGCCATTTGACCCCCTGCAGTACACGGCGATCTGGCTGTCCCTGCCTTCATTTATGGACACAGAAATACACAGACACAGGGATGCACGTCTGGATCCTGGGAGCCCATGGAGTACAGAATCCCACTAGAGGGAACTGATGGTGACCACCCCATTAAATACCCGTGTACACACACAATGCTGATCACAAAAGCCTCAAGGACCTGCACCCTCATGAGGAAATCTTTGACTTACACCAGGTTTGAGATAAGCCAGAGACTGATTGCTTATAAGCCACAGCTTAGGACAGGAGGCCAACTGTATGTCCTCACAACACACAGTATACAACAGAGGCAGCCTGGCTTGGATGCTACACCTGGTGACCAGAAATCCATGTACATACACAAGGATAAAAATGAACCAATAATGAGGCAAAAGTGTGGCCTTGTGCTCTCTGTCCAACTACACAAACTTACCTTCCTCCTGAGGAGAGAACCAAGAGCTAGGACTCAAGGACAAACTGGGGGACACAGAGCTTAAGTCCTCTGTGCCACCTGCAGATTCATCTAGTCCTGAAGATGGTGTGTGTGCTACCCCAGCCTCACCGAGAGAAAGGGTCACACAAGGCATCTCCTATGCATGGGAACTCCTACTCTCCTAGGGCCTTCCCTTGCCAAAAGAGAACCCCATCCTCAGCCTGGACAGACCCATTGATTCAACCCACATCAATGAAGGAGAGATGGACCTCAGTCTCCAGCCCCTGTTGAAGCCTCAGTTTGAAGAAGGCGACAGTATAGTGTTTTCACTGATTTTGTTTAGTTTTCTGAAGAATCCGCGTATGGAAGTCATCACTGAACCATGCACAGTCCTCAAAGCAGCAAAAATGAAACACTGGGGCATTTCAAAAGCCAATACTTACCATCCTGAGGTACCCACGAGCTTGAAGGAAACCATGCCACATATGTTTAGAAGTACTTCACCATCGCCAGGGATCTCCCAAGATCAAGGTCATCCCTTGTGGTCACTGGCCTGCCTTCCATACCAACGCCACCTAAGAAGTGTAGGAGCAACATAGGTGTGCTTGAGAAAGGCAGTCAGGTGCGTAGGTGGCAAGGGTCATGTCATTTGTCCTGCTGTGCATTATTCTGTATCTACCTCCCATGGGCTGCCCCTTTTTCTGCACATGTGCATGGGTTTGCCCAGATATGAAGGGACGAGGCAGGCATGAATTTTGAAGGTACCATCAAACTAGAAAGCACTAAGCATGAAGAACACTCTCAACACCAACTACTGCCACACCTCTGACTCAAAAGCCCTTCCCGTGGACATCAGAGAAGATAAAGGCAATGGAGATAATTTAATGAGGACAGTGGGTCTCAGAAATTCGAAAGACACTTTTGCATGTAGGGCAGAGAAAGGCTTACCGTCCCAAGCCACCCACCAGCACGAAGTGCACTGGAGATGTCAGGACACACTGAATCAAGGACCCAGTGCGGCCTCCGAAGCTCAGAAGAATCGCCCATCTTCCTTGCCAGCAAGCAGCAGAGCTCTCATGGCAGCTGCTTCTGAGAAGTGTAAAGAAATTAAAGGGACGCATGAGAAATGGCCTAAGTCCACTGGTCACCACTGCACACCCCGGGTAGTGGAACCTAGGTGGAAGATGTCCCTCACTCCTACAGTCCCTGGGGGAGGCAATGTGCTGGACCTCAGTTCCGATGAGAGTGACGGTATGAGTTCTCACTCATTTTGTTCAGGTTTTCCAAGGAATGTTTTTTTTGTAGGACTCATCATTGATCCAAGCACATTGGAAGAGGCAGGACGTTTGACCACACGGGCTGGGCAATGCCTGTCTTGGAAATCTGAAAGATGCCCTCACTCAGCACAGGGGCAGAGGAATGCGTACCGTCCTGAGCCACCTGCCAGCACGAGGTGCACCATGGATGCCAGGCCACACTAACTCCACGGGGACTCTGCTGCTCAGAAGAACTGACCATCTGTTGTGGCAGCACATGGTGGGCCTCTCAAGGCATCTGCCCCTGAGAAGTGCAAAGATAACACAGGCATGCTTGAGGAACAAGCTCAGATCCACTGGTCACATTAATGTTAGTCTTTCCCAAGGGGCAACCCATACACCTCTTCACCTTGTCCCTCACTCCTACAGTCCCTGGGGTGGCAATGTGCTGGACCTCAGTTCCGATGAGAGTGACGGTATGAGTTTTCACTCATTTTGTTCAGCTTTTCCAAGGAATGTTTTTTGGAGGGCTCATCATCGATCCAGGCACAAGAGGTAACCGTTTCCTATGCAAAAGGCGGCTTTCCTTCAGCCTTGAAGCATTTTCACCCCTGGGGTCCTTCATACTCTTCCCATCCAGAAACATGTAAAAATCACAAATCAACCTCCACGTGCACTACACAGGTGCAGCTCAGGGACCCAGAAGAGCACCAGGCATTCTGAATCCTACAAGACTTCTGAGGTGCTGCAGCTAAGAAAACCATATCTATGGCACTTGCCTGTGAACGTAACATCAACGTCCAAAACCTATCCAGCATTGGCTTGCAGATGTTAGCCCTGTCCTGACACCCAACTGCTATTTCCCAAAGAACATTGCTGTGAAAAAGTAGGCGGAATTTGAAAAAACACTAATATCAGGAGACACTGAGGTATATAAGCAAAGACGCCTTCCCAGTTCACATTTCCAAGCAGAAGTCACCACGACATGGGGAGTGACCTGCTCTTAAAAACTCTAACTGCATCAAAGTGTCTGTCAGATGCAAATGACATCAAGCTTCCCAAGCAAACCATCCTAAGAAGATCGTGAAATGGACCGTGGGCACCCTACAATGTCCGAACGAGGCTCACAGTCATCACTGCACGACCCACATGGAATGATGCCCAGTAAAGGAATGTACAGATCTCTCCCTTTCTACCCTTCTGGGGCCATTTTTGGAATTCCTCCTACAGACGTACAAGTTCACTGTGGAGAGCTTCTCTAGCCTCCTCTCCAGAGAGCAAATCAGAATTGCCACCAGCTTCAAGATGACCAGCCCATGATGCCACCCAAACACTACAGGAAGTCCCATGTCCCCAGCCACAAATTAAAGAGAGCTGAAAAAGTGCCCAGGAATGGTACTGTGCCGTCTCCTCAGGTGAAAGAAACTGTCTTTCTCTGGGGGTGATGAAGCCAAGAGGTATGAATCAAGGACAGACCCAGCCATGCAGTAGTGGGCAACTGGATACTGCCTTCCTGTGGCACCTGAAAGTCCACCTGCTCCTGCACACTGGCAGGATGCTACCCCACCTTGTCACGGGAAGTCCTTCAACAAACACCTCTCTCAGCCAGGGCAGTACAAAATACCCAGCTACTCAATTTCACTGAAAGACAGCTACATGCTAAGCCTCGGTGCGGCCCATGACAACAAACAGATTTTGTCCCGCTAAATAAAGACCCTGATGGAGAAGTATGATGGACCTCAGGTCGATGAGGAGGATGGTATTGAGTTTTCACTGATTTTGTTCACCTTTCCAAAAAAATGTGTATATGGAAGTTGCCATTGTTCCACAGTCTTTGTCCCTGCAAATGAGGGAAAAAAAATGTTTTTAGAAGAAATCACTTACGTTCAGGAGAAATCCAAAAGGCTCTGAAGGAGCCCACACCATGTATATCCAGGGGCCTCATGGCATCTCCAAAGATCACACAAGATGAAGACCATCCTTCTTGAACAAGAGCCTTCCTTCCAAGCCAATGTGACCAGGGAGGCGCAGATGAAATGAGTGTGCTTCAGAAAGACAGACAGGTACACATGTCAGGAGGGCTGTGTCATCCAGACCTCTGTGGTACATATGAAAACTGCCTGTCTATGGCTTCATGTGTTTGTGTACACAGAAACACATATACAGAGTTGCACATGTAGATTCTGGGTATCCTGGGAGTACATCACGCCACAAAAGAGCATGGACATAGATAGAACATCCCAATCAATGCCATGGTTTCAACATGTGCAATGGGCATACAAAAGACTTGGTGCCCTTGATACTGAAAGCTGAAAATTGTACAACTACTCAGTTCAGGATAAGACAGAGATGACATGCCAGTCAGCCCAAGACTGGAACAAAAGCAAAAACCTTCATGAAATACATACTTCCTCAACATGAAAAAAATAAATGTTGGTGAAAGGTTGTGATTGGTGACCGGAACCTGGCTAAAAATCCATTGCACAACAAAAAAACAAAACTTAAGATTAAGGGTAAAACCAACTTCATACCAAGAAGAAGACTAGAAAAAGTAATGTGCTACCAAAGTATGATTAACAAATACATTTATTATAAAGAATATTACTACGGTCAAAATGTCCACAAAAACTGAATGCCAATGCCTGGGTAGTGAAGTCAAATGTAAGGTGAAAAAGTTACCCATGAACCACAGTAAGCCAAAGGGGAGGCAATGTGCTGGACCTCAGTTCCGATGAGAGCGACGGTATGAGCTTTCACTCATTTTGTTCAGCTTTTCCAAGGAATGTTTTTTTGAGGGACTCATCATCGATCCAAGCACAGTCCAAGAGGTAGGACGTTTGACACCACAGGCTGGGCAGTGGGCTAGTCAACGACCCTAAAGACCTTCGGCACCTTGGGGAACTCAGAGCCGCACCACTGAGCAATGGGCACAGACCATCGACTCAGGGAGTGGAACTCTCCAAGCCATTAGTGGCCTGCTAACAGACAGCTCTTTTTGGGTCTCAGAAATTTGAAAGACACCTCTGCACACAGGGCAAATAAATGCTTACCGTCCGAAGCCACCCACCAGCACAGGGTGCACTGTAGATGCCAGGCCATGCCGAATCAACAACTCAAAGCAGCCTCCTTTGGTCAGAAGATTAGCCCATCTTCCTTGCCAGCAAGTAGCAGAGCTTTCATGATTAACTGCTCCTGCGAAGTTTAAATAAATCAAAAGCACACTTGAGAAACAGGCCCAGGTCTGCTGATCACCACTTCAATTCCACTCAATGTGCTGGACCTCAGTTCCGATGAGAGTGACGGTATGAGCTTTCACTCATTTTGTTCAGCTTTTCCAAGGAATGTTTTTTTATAGGACTCATCATCGATCCAAACACATTTGAAGAGGCAGGACATTTGACATCACAGGCTGGGCAGTGCAGCTGATGACCTTAAAGACCTTTGGTACCCTGCAGAACCCAGAGCCGTGCCACTGAGCAATGGGCACAGACCATCCACTCTAGGCCAGAAACTTGCCATGCCATTAGTGGCCTGCTGAAAAACAGCTCCCTGTGGGTCTTAAAAATCCCAGAGACACCCTCACTCAGCAAGAGGGGCAAAGGAATGCTTACCATCCTGAGCCATGCACCATCACCAGGTGCACCATGGATGCCAGGCCCCTCACCAAAACCAGGACTCCACGTGGCCTTCGTTGCTTGGAGAATTCACCATCTTCCTTCCAACAGGTGCTGTGCCTCCCAGAGCAACTGCCCCTGAGAAGTGTAAAAAAATCAAATGCACGCTCAAGAAGTAAGTCCAGGTCCACTGGTCACCACTTCAATACCACGCTTTTCTGTGGAGCAACTTGCATGCCAGCTTCTCCTGGGCCTCCAGGCTTGATCTACATCTCCATGAATGTACCTGACTATGCGACTCTGAAGCATGTGTGGCTGGAACGTACGTGCCCATGGCTGTGTGTATCTGCCTGTGGCTGTGTGTGTCTCTGAGTGTGTGTGTCACAACACCACAGTGGGTGCTTGTAGTCTGCAGCCTCCAGACCAAGGACTGTGGGTGTCAGCCTGACCCTCGCACTTACTGTGGTCTGCCCTCAATGACCCCTGCTGGCTGAGCTGTCGTCTGCCAGAGAAATCCACGGAAACCCCATCACTGCCAAATGACAGCCCCAGACCACTGATGACATGCATGCCCACTTGAGCCCTCTATCACCATTTATCTGGAACACCTTCCTGCCCAGGCCTCTACTACCACACCATGAGCATCTCATAGCCCAGTCGGTGAATAAATAACTGTTGGGGTGGTGGCAGGGCCTGTGACCAACTTGGGAAGGCGTGGGCTGTGCTGGACCTCAGTTCCGATGACAGCGACGGTGTGAGTTTTCACTCATTTTGTTCAGCTTTTCCAAGGAATGTTTTTATGGGGGACTCATCATCGAACCAAGCACATTCGAAGAGGCAGGACATTTCACACTGCAGGCTGGGCAGCGGGTGAGCCAACGACCTTAAAGACCTTCGGCACCCTGCAGAACCCACAGCCGCGCCACTGAGCAACGGGCACAGAGCACTGACTCAGGGAGTGGAACTCGGCATGCCATTAGTGGCCTCCTGACAAACAGCTCTTTGTGGGTCTCAGAAATCTGAAAGACACCGCTGCACACAGGGCAGGGAGATGCTTACCGTCCTGAGCCACTGCCAACACAGGGTGCACTGCAGATGGCAGGCCACACCGCATCAAGAACTCAGCGCAGCCTCCGTTGGTCAGAAGACTCGATCAACTTCCTTGCCAGCAAGTGAAGGACCTGTCACGACAACTGCTCCTAAGAAGTACAAAGAAATCAAATGTGCACTTGAGAAATGGGCCCAGGTCCAATGATCAGCACTTCAATTCTCTTCAATGTGCTGGACCTCAGTTCCGATGAGAGCGACGGTATGAGTTTTCACTCATTTTGTTCAGCTTTTCCAAGGAATGTTTTTTTGGGAGGACTCATCATTGATCCAAGCACATTGGAACAGTCAGGACATCTGACACGACAGGCTGGGCAGTGGACAAGCCCATGACCCAAGACCTAGGCCATGTCCTTAATGGCCTGCTTAGGAACTGCTCCTTGTGGGTCTCAAAAATCCTAAAGACACCCGGCGCTCATCATGAGGGTCAGAGGAATGCTTACCATATTGAGTTGCCCACCAGCATGGGGTGCACCGTGGAGGCCAGGCCACACCAAAACCAGAACTCCGTGGGGCCTTCATTGCTTGGAAGAATTGACCATCTTCCTTGCCAGCAGTCTCAGGGCCTTCCACAGCAACTGCTCCTGAGAAGGGTAAATAAACCAAATGGATTCTTCAGAAACGTGCTCAGGTGCACTGGTCACCATTGGACACCCTGGGTGGCGGACCCGATGGGAATCAGTGAAGTTGTCCCTCCCTCCCACAGTCCCTGGGGGAGGTAATGTGCTGGACCTCAGTTCCGATGAGAGCGACGGTATGAGTTTTCACTCATTTTGTTCAGCTTTTCCAAGGAATGTTTTTTTGTAGGACTCATCATTGATCCAAGCACATTCGAAGAGGCAGAACATTTGACACCACAGGCTGGGAAGTGGGCAAGCCGATGACCTTAAAGACCTTCGGCACCCTGTGGAATCCAGAGCTACGCCACTGAGCAATGGGCACAGACCATTCACTTTAGGAGTGGAACTCACCATGCCATTTGAGAAACAGCTCCTTGCAGGTCATGGAAATCACAGAGACACCCCCACTCAGCACATGGGGTAGAGGAATAACGTCTTGAGCCACCCACCAGCACAGGGGGCACTGGACATGTCAGGACACACCAAATCAAGGACTCAACATGGCCTCCGTTGTTCAGATTTGCCCATCTTCCTTGCCAGCAAGCGGTGGACCTCTCATGACATGGGTCCTGAGACGTATAAGGAAATCAAACAGATGCATCAGAAATGGGCCCAGATGCACTGGTCACCACTGGATACTCTGGGTGGTGGAACCTATGAGAATCAGTGGAAGCTGTCCCTCACTCCTACAGGCCACAGGGGAGGCAATGTGCTGGACCTCAGTTCCGATGAGAGCGACGGTATGAGTTTTCACTCATTTTGTTCAGCTTTTCCAAGGAATGTTTTTTTGGAGGGATCATCATTGATCCAAGCACATTCAAAGAGGCAGGATGTTTAACACCACAGGCTGGGCAATGGGTGAGCCCATGACCTTGCAGACCTCAGCCATGCCCTTAATGGCCTGCTGAGGAACTGCTCCTTGTGAGTCTCAGAAGCCCAAATGACACTCTCACGCATCATGAGGGGCAGAGGAATGCTTACCATATTGAGCTTCCACCAGCACGGGATGCACTGTGGATGGCAGGTCATATCAAATCCAGGACTCCGTGGGGCCTTCACTGCTGGAAAAAATCGACTATATTCCTTGCCAGCAGACTGCAGGCCCTCATGGCAAGTGCCCCTGAGAAGTGTAAAGAAACCAAATTAATGCCTGAGAAATGAGCCCAGGTCCACTGTCACCACTCCAATGTCATTCTTTCCCACAGAGCAACTCGCAGGCTTGCTTTTCGTTAACCTCCATTACCATGAATACACCTCACCCGTGTCACACTGTGGACACCTAGGAAGCATCTGTGACTGAAAATGAGAGAAAGCACCCACTGCTGAATCTGTCTGCCTGTGTCTGTGCACGCCTGTGTTTGTATGTGTGTGCCTGAGAGTAAGTGTTGTCTGTGTATGGATCTCTCCCTCACGCTTATGTGTTTACCACTACCACATGGGCAGGCATAGTTGGCATCCTCCAGAGCTGAACCCCCCCACAACCCAAAGGCTCAAGGCCCAGGCCTTTAATCAGCAGGATGTAAACTTTGACCTCTAGGCCATACAAACATAGCCGGAGGTTCCGTGTCTATCAGCCACCACCCCTGGCATGAGCACACACTCCTATTCATGGGAAATCCGATGTGACCAGACACTGTCTCTGGTCACCATCTCAGGGGAGGTGCACACAGCGGAAAACCAGTCACGACCACTGCTGGGTAAGGGTGTCTTAGCAAAGTCCAGCACATCGGTCTGAAACGTGGCAACAAGGCCAGAAGCAGTCTTCCTAACCAGGCAAACCATCTCAAAATGCGGACTTTCTCCCCTCCACCAAGGCCATATGCCCAAACTGTGCCCTCAGGACACCCAAAGGGAATGGCTGCTTCTCCAATGGGATGTCTCTGCCTGACCCCCCCTGAAAGGATCAGGTTGACAGGACACACTGCCTGTCATCATTCTTGGGTTGGACGCATCTACAGGGCTTCTCTGCACTGACCTCTGAGGTGACATCCCCTCACACAGCCAACCAGACTGCACTACGACCCACCATAATGCCTACAAGTCAACACTGCCTCAACACCACTGCTTCCACATGCACTTGTCTGCTATGTGAGCCACAAGCCATAGAACCACCAATCCTTTCCAGCTCTCCTAAGCCAACCATGTGCCCTTCAAAGTGGCATGCCTGTCCTGGCTACCCTGAAATGTCAAAACAGTTAAGGGAACTGAAATGCTTCATCATGCCTACGGTGTAGCAGAATCCAGCACTGGAACATTGCCAACAAGCCGAGGCGTGGAGGCATCCCAAGTCAAAGAGACTCTCTGTGGCCAATGCCCCTGGGACTGCACACGTGCTGCTAGGAAAGCACACAGACCTCCGTGGATGGCCCCAAGCGTGACTGGAGCCCACTAGAGAGTCCTGGGCCAGGGCCAGGACCAGGGCACATTCCCTCTGGGTGCCTTTGGAATGGAAACTGCTTTCCAAGTGGTAAAGAGGAAGCAGAGAAGTATATGCTCACATGAATTGCAGCAGGTGGGGCTGCCGGAAAATGTGGGCCAGGAGGCCATTTCCAGGAAGATGTGTACAACAGTTGAGCCCACTACTATGCTGGGAAGACCAGAAGTGACCCATGGACACCACCCCAACATTCACTCGCCCAGAGACAAACCCTCAAAGACCCACCATGGCTGACCTGTGGTCCACCAGAGAAATCCATGGAAAGCTCATCACCGTCAAATGGCAGCCCGAGACCACTGATGGCATGCATGTCCACAGGAACCCTCTACTGCCTTTTCTCTGGGATACAGTCCTGCCCAGGACTTGGCCACTGTAACACGGACATCTCATAGCTAGGGATGCAAAGAAATCCATGCCGGGGGCACCTGTGACCAACCCTGGAAGGAGGGCTGAAGACGATTTAAAGGTCTGCAGCAATACCCATTGCTCTGCACTCTCCTCCCTCACCTTGGAACTCCCCTGTCATCAGCTGACGGAAAATGAAGACCAAGGTCTGCCTGAAGCCTGGGCCTTGTGCTCTCCTGAGCAGGGGAACTGGAATGCATTCCTGTGCGCAGACACCCATGGTGAGGTCTGAGACTCCCTTCCTGGGAATTCGCCAAGCCCAGGCCAGTTGTACACTGCCCTAGGTCAAGACATTTCTGCCTATTTCCACGGCCACCAAGACATCACAGAGTGGCTGATCATCCCCCACGACTTCCCCATCAGTCTAAGTTATGCAAAGAATGTTCCTAATGTCTATGATGAGAGACTAAGCTGTAAACGCCCTGGGTGGTGTAACCGTAGGGACTAATGGAAGCTGTCCCTCACTCTTACAGTCCCTACAGGAGGCAATGTGCTGGACCTCAGTTTCGATGAGAGCGACGGTATGAGTTTTCACTCATTTTGTTCAGCTTTTCCAAGGAATGTTTTTTTATAGGACTCATCATCGATCCAAGCACATTTAAAAAGGCAGCATGTTTAACACCACAAGCTGGGCAGTGCGTAAGCCAATGACCTTAAAGACCTTTGGCACCCCATGGAACCCAGAGTCACGCCACTGATCAATGGGCACAGAGCATTAACTCAGGAAGTGGAACTCGGCATGCCATTAGTGGCCTGCTGAGACACAGCTCTTTGCAGGTCTCAGAAATCTGAAAGATACCTCTGCACACAGGGCAGGGAGATGCTTACCGTCCTGAGCCAGCACAGGGTCCACTGCAGATGTCAGGCCACACCACATCAAGTACTCAGCACAGCCTCCGTTCGTCAGAAGACTCGATCAACTTCCTTGCCAGCAAGTGAAGGACCTGTCACGACGACTGCTCCTAAGAAGTATAAAGAAATCAAATGCGCACTTGAGAAACGGGCCCAGGTCCAATGATCAGCACTTCAATTCTCTTCAATGTGCTGGACCTCAGTTCCGATGAGAGCGACGGTATGAGTTTTCACTCATTTTGTTCAGCTTTTCCAAGGAATGTTTTTTTGTAGGACTCATCATCGATCCAAGCACATTTGAAGAGGCAGGACATTTGACAAACAGGCAGGGAAGTGGGCGAGCCAATGACCTTACAGACTTTCAGCACCCTGTGGAAACCATAGCTATGCACTGAGTAATGGTCAAAGACTGTTCACTTTAGGAGTGTAACTACCATAGCATCAGAGGTCTCCTGAGAAACAGCTCACTGTCTGTCATGGAAATCCAAACAATATCCTCACTTAGCACAAGGGGAGAGGAATGCTTACCGTTCTGAGCCACCTGCCAGCACGTGGTGCACCACAGATGCCAGGCCACACTGACTCCACCACTCCATGGGGACGCTGCTGCTCAGAAGAATCGATCATCTGTCGTGCCAGCAGGCGGTGGGCCTCCCAAGGCAACTGCCCCTGAGAAGTGTAAGGATATCAAAAGCACGCTTGAGGAATGAGCCGAAGTCCACTGATCATGTCCCTGAGAAGTGTAAGGATATCAAATGCAAGCTTGAGGAATGAGCCCAAGTCCACTAATCATGTCAATGTCATTCTTTCCCAAGGGGCAATTCGTACACCTGCTTCTCCTTGCACTCCACAACCGACTTCCATTTCCATGAATATACCTTGCACGTGTCCATCTGGACACCTGTAAGTGCGTACGACTGAACGACTGCACACACCTGTTGCTGCATCTATTTGCCTGTGGCTGTATACACGTGTGTGAGTGTTTCTGTGTGGGTGTGTGTCCCCCTTATGCACCTGGGTGTCCCATCATAGTCTGCAGCCTCCAGACCTCAATCAACCCACAAAAATCAAAGGCTCAAGGCCCCCACCTTCAATCAATAGGATGTGAACTTTGACCTTGGGGCCATGGGGAAAGAGTTCCAAGGACCTTGCATAACAGCCACCACCCCGGCACAAGCACATGCTCCTCCTCACGGGACATATGATGTGGTGACCAGACACTGTCTCTGGCACCTGATGAGGTGAGGTGCACCTGAAGGAAAACCAACCACCACCAAAGCTGGAGGGCACCTTTGCAACAGCCAGCATGTTGCTCTGAAACACAAGGCCAGAGGCAGTCTTCCCAACCCAGGCAAAGAATCTCAAGACACATGCTTCCTTCCTTCCACCCAATCCATGTGCCCACATTGTGCCCTCTGGACACCCAAAGAAAACGGCTGCCTTTCCACAAGGACATCTTCACCTGAATCCCCACGACAGGACACACCCAGAGTTACCCTGCACTGACATCACAAACAATGTCCTATCACACAGCCAGACAGAGTGCACGACCACCCACCCTCATGCCAGTAAGTCAATGCTGCATCAACACCACCAGGTCCACAAGCATGCAGTGACCAAGTGAGCTGCAAGATGTACGACTGCCAATCCCTTCCAACTTTCCTGTGCCAACCAGGTCCTTTTACAGTGGTGTGGCTGTCCCACCTGCACTGTGACTTCTAGCCAGCTGAGGGAGCTGAAACGCTGTGCTATGCCTTGGAGTAGTGGAGTCCAATGCTGGAACACGGCCAACGTGCAGAGGTGCGGAGTTGTGCCAAGTCAAGGGACTCTCTGTGGTAACATCCCGAGATTGCAAATGCACTGCCCAGAATGCACATAGACATGCATAGCCCCGTGCAGGCCTGGAGCCCACAGGAGACTCCGGGGCCAGGGCCAGGCACAATCGCTCTGGATACCTTTGGGTTGGAAAACAGGAATGCTACAGAGCTCCAGCAGGTGGAGCCACCCAACAATGCACGCCAAGAGACCATTTCCAGGAAGATGTGCACAATGGTGGAGCCCACCATTCTGCTGGAAAGATCAGAAGTGACCCAGGACTATGGACACCATCCCAAC